TTTGGGGGCCAGCGTCATCGCTGGCACACCATCCGGATTGTGAGATCCTACATCGGTTGAAGAGGAGAACGAAACATTCCTTATAAAGGTGTGAAAACATCTCCCTAACAAACGAGTTTTAGAACCGTGAGGCTGAAGACGATACGTAATGAGCCAAAATAGATAATATCTACGAACAGTGAGATTGAGCTATTATAGAATGAGTTTAAGTCTTAATAGCCAGATACATAGATTTTAATAATTATACGTGTTTTTGTGTCAACCAAATGAAATAGGGTTAGACAGTTGTCTAATGAAATTAATCGAGGTGTATACAAGTTGACCCGAACACTTATTATTGAAATAATAAAAAATAAAAAAAACGGTATCCCTTGTACAATTGGGCTATCCTTTGCATCATAAAGATGGTACATATCTTTGTAGGGTCATTGAGTTCCTACTTATTATTTCCTTTAACAAATGCATGTCAAAGAGCTTTTTAAGTACATGAACGTAAAACTAGTCTATAAAGCTTGAACTTAATTTTAACGCTCACGTGTTTTTTAACATGTTTTGTTCTCACTCACGTGTTTTTTAGAACAGTAAATCCTAGGTACGTAGGTAGGTGGCCACTCTGGCTTGAATTACTCGTTTTTCCTTTAAGCTCTTTACTATGTACGTTGTCCTTCTAGAGTACTAGGATACTCACGGTGGTTGACTAAATTGAATCTTTTGACCAAATTCGTAATTTAACCTAGTTTCTTTTATATCTCTCTATAAGTCCCGTCATTCATTATGGAGATATTCTAACTCGGGAAAATCCGACTATTTGTATTTGTTTTATTCGTGTCCTACTCATCCAACCATTTTTAATTATATATTTTGCAAAAATTAGACCATGGTCTCATTTTCTATGCTAGTGGTCCAAAAAACTAAGCCTACTTTTATCAATTCAATTATAGTGTGATAATTATTTTAATATTTTCAAATTCTTTTTTATTTTATTTTATAAATTATTAATTAAATTATTTTATCATTAATCAAGATTAAGGGATTAATTAGATCGTTAATTACGTGATTTTATTAATCTTTATTTTAAAATTCAAAACCTGATTTTTTTTTTATTGAATTTCACAAAATAAATTAAAAAAAAAAAACTAAAATCGTAATTACTGCAAAAATAAGGGGTAAAAAATGTGAAATTGCTTATGGGGAAACGTTCAAAAAAGAAAAAGAAATTATTATTTATTTTTATTAAGAAAAGAAAAAGGTAAAAAGGTAAAAAGGCAAAGTCAAAATTTGCTATTTCCTTTATTATTATTATTATTTTTTTATCATTAATAACGGTAAATGATGATGGAATCCGTAAATATCTCTATTTACCAGGGGTAATTTCGTCATTTCAAATTGCTATAAGTAACTACCTTAGCTCGCTTTCCAACAATCTCGTCCCCCCAAAAATCACACTCTCTCTCTCTCTCTCTCTTTGTCAATCTCTGTAGACCGCGTCTGTTACGGCGTCTCACCGGTGTTGACGGTTGCCGGAGAATACGGCGGAGGCGAGTCCCGGCGATTGGTGGTGCGGTGGGGTTCTGTGTCATTTGACCGGTGGCCGTGGTAGTGGTTTTGGTGTTGAAGGATATAGAAAGCGGCGTGCATGTGGAAGTGGCGGGAGTTTGTGGGGATAACGAATAGGAAGAAGGCGTTTAAACGGAGGCGTGTTTGGATGGATTAAGTGGAGTGGGGGATCACCGGCGGCCATGATGGAGAGGAAGTTGGTGTTTGGCGTGGCGGTCGGCGTGGCGGTGGGTGCTTGTGTGGTGGCGGCGGTTGTGGTGGGACGGAGAGTGAAGAGTAGGAGTAAGTGGAAGAGAGTGGTTAGGGTTTTGGAAGAGTTTGAGGTGGCTGGTGATACTCCTGTGAGGAGATTGAGGCAAGTGGTTGATGCTATGGCGGTTGAAATGCATGCTGGATTAGCCTCTGAAGGTGGTTCTAAGCTTAAAATGCTACTCACATATGTCGATAATCTGCCTAATGGGTAACACATCAATCAATTTTATCTATAGCCTCTGTTTTCCAATGCTGCCGGTTTCGTTTTAATTTATTGATTATTGAACTGGAGAGACTGGGTTTGAGTGATTTCATTTGTTTGGTTGTAGTTCTTTGAAGCCTCCTTGTTGGATTGCTTGATTTTTTATCTTTGCTTATTGGAAATCAATTTTCCTTAATCTTTTGGTGCATGTGTACTGTGTTTGATCTCTCTCTCTCTCTCAATCATGTTCTTTTTTCTGTTTTTGCAGACTAGTTTTACACGTTTTTAAATTGGATTTCTGTCTGTAGCGTTACTGATGAGAGGTGTCAGTGTCTGCGTACTGCTGCATGTCATCTTTGATTATGTTTTGGGATAAAGTGTGTGTTATTTTCTTGTTCTTGAGTAATGGCCAATTGTCTTTCTTGCTTTTTTGGATTTTGATTGATGTGTTGCATTATACGTTGTATACACGTTTTTGCTGTTCTTATTGGGTGGTTCTTCTTTTCTTTCCCTTTTCCCTCTTTAGGAGCGAGAAAGGAACTTTCTATGCTCTGGATCTTGGGGGCACTAATTTTAGGGTGTTGAGAGTTCATCTGGGTGGCCAGAGGTCTCTTAGTTTGGAACATGATGTGGAGCGGCAGCCAATTCCCGAACATTTAATGACTGGCACGAGCGAGGTGATTTCACTTCTACCGTGAACCTCTGCTCTTGATTTGCTCACCAGTTTTCATTTAGTATTTTGATCCATGTTTCTTGCGTGTAGGATCTCTTCGATTTTATTGCTTCGTCGCTGAAGGATTTCGTCGAGAAAGCTGATGATCCTGATCAGTTGGTAGCTAGAAGAAAGGAACTTGGATTTACATTTTCCTTTCCTGTTAAACATGCATCTGCTTCATCTGGGGTGTTGATTAAATGGACTAAAGGATTTTCCATTGAAGACATGGTTAGTTTGATGCTGTTTAAATTGATTGAGTGGTTCGACTACTAGAGTGAGATGAAAAAGTGTTCTTCCTAATGAAAAATTTATCTGTCGACAGTTTTTGGACAGTTTTTGCCCCGATACCAAATCTGAATATCTTTGGCCTTGAAGAATAAAAGCACATCAGTTTGTATTTTGGACATCTTGTACTAGGCTAAGAATTGTTCTACTTTTCAGGTTGGACAAGATGCTGCAGAATCGTTACAACAAGCAATTGATAGGATTGGACTGGATATGAGGGTATCGGTACTGGTAAGTGTTCTGTTACTTAGTAAGTTGGCTAAAATGATGGTAGAAACACCAAATGTCTCTCTCTTGATAGTTTACAGAAGGAAGGCGAAACGATGCCTGCCTTTTTCTGATTATCACTGGTCTGAAAAATCTTTTGTAGCCAACTTCCTTGAACTGGCTTGGTTTAGGTTGAGAAGATCTTTCCTGGTTTATATTTTCTGGTGTTGTTCCATAGAACTTAAGGGACATATTTACTTCATATGCATGCTTGGATGAACTATTTGATCTAATATAGAAAAGCACACTGATATAACTTGATCTATTGAATGGAGTTTGTAAGTGTAGTTTATCATTTGCTGAATCAGATTAACGACACTTTGGGAACGTTAGCTGTTGGTCACTATCAAGATCCCGACACCGTTGCCGCAGTTATAATTGGCACTGGCACGAATGCTTGCTATCTTGAACGGACTGACGCCATTATCAAATGCCAGGGGCTTCTTACTACATCTGGGAGCATGGTACTTTTCTTTAGTTTAAACCCTTAATAGGGTTTTTTAGTCTCGAAATTATATTGATCTTTTTTATCATTCAGGTCATCAACATGGAATGGGGAAACTTTTGGACTTCTCATTTACCAAGAACTACTTATGATATTGATTTGGATGTGGATAGCCCCAATCCCAACGAGCAGGTACGGTTGGTTTTTGTTGTCAAACTTCTTGAACTGTGCCATTATGTTGGAACTAACTTGGTTGTGTATGAGCTTGATGTAGGGCTTTGAGAAAATGATATCGGGTATGTATCTTGGTGATATCGTTAGAAGAGTGATTCTGAGGATATCACAAGAATCTGATGTTCTAGGCCCTGCTTCTACCAGGTTATTGATGCCCTTCATTTTGAGGTAATCTCTTCCCTCCCCTGCCCCCGACCGCTCTTTCTGACCTCATCCTGCTCTCTGCAATGTGGTCACGATTCCATCAAATTTTCAGAACACCGTCGATGGCTGCCATGCACGAGGATAGCTCCCCAGATTTAACAGAAGTAGCACGGACTTTAGAAGACATCTTGGAGGTGGACACAAAAGCTATCTTTTCTCCATTGATCTCTCTTCATTTATTTGCATAACCACCTTACTTTCACTGATCTCTTTTCTTGGTTGGTTCTATCCTCTCAGATCACTGATACACCCTTAAAGGTTCGAAAGCTCGTAGTGAAAATATGCGACATTGTGACACGACGAGCTGCTCGCTTGGCAGCTGCTGGTATTGTGGGCATCCTGAAGAAGATAGGGCGAGACGGGAGCAATGGAATCGCTGGAGGAAGAAGTAGAACCGACATCAAACTTAGACGAACAGTTGCAATTGAAGGAAGTTTATACACAAGCTATACAATGTTCAGAGAATATCTACATGAAGCTTTGGTTGAAATACTGGGAGAGGAGACAGCCCCACACGTAATTTTAAAGGCGACCGAAGATGGGTCGGGTATTGGAGCAGCACTACTTGCAGCGTCCTATTCATCGTAGATTCGGCATCTGTGGATAAAACACAGTAAAATCTCTACAAAAACTCACACATATCTGAATATATATATATATATATATATATATATATATAGATCCAGTATAGAAAAAGTATTGACATATACACAAAATTATTATAGGTTTGCCTTAGCTTGTACATTTAGCGATTCATTTCAATATTTGATTATGTATAAAGAAGGCTGTCCATATGTTTTTTTTACTCCTTGGCATTGTTCAAAGGTTCCAGTGCTGACTGCTGATGATTGATCTATTGCATTGTTTGTTATATATATTCATTGCAACATGTGAAGTGTTCTGTAAAGTTACAGTTCATGATCTCAAATGGGATTTGAATATAATGTGAAAATTCCTTCTCTTACTCCTTTTTTGCTTCTACTTTTAAATCTATGCCTCCCTCTATATTAACTTCTATTTAACACTTTTTCAGACTAATATCACTAATCGGAATGTCAATGCATCCCCCATGACAGAACCCAAATATCTTAACCATCCAAGTCTCATGGGTGAAAGTCAAATATCATAACCATGGACGACAACAACAAAATTTTAAATGATTATATTTAGAATAATGAGACTTATAACACGGGAGTTGTTTTCCATATTACACACAATTCCGTGTTTAGACACTCCACTTTTAAGTTTTTGTCTAATAAATTTTTAGTAATATTAGAATTTTTAAAAATTAATTTTTTATTAGATATAAAATTAAATTTTAATGGGGTGTAATTAGATAATTTAATTAAAAAATTAAAAATTTGAAGGATTATATGTTTCTTTAAAAATTTAAACACTACATAAATACTAAATTTATAATTTATCCTTAAAAAAGATCATTAAACCATAAGAAGAGATGAAAAAAATGCAACTAAAATTAATTTTTTTAAAAAAATGCAAAGATTTTAGAGGCAAAATATGAAAATGGTCCAAGCAAAATTACATATTTACCCCCAGAGAAACCTTTTAAAATGGGGTACGGTTTTTTGGCTCGAACTAGCACGACTTGGAACTCTCGTGTTCTCTGCAATGGCCGCTGAGAACAAACCCTCCACCGCCGGCAAGAAACGGAAGCAGCGCTATCGTCCCAACAATGTTTCTCTCTCAATCTTTTCTTCTTCTTCCTTGCTCCTCTTCTTTTTACCTTCTCTATTAGGTCGATTTACTCAATTCCTTCTAATTTTCTCGTTGTTCTCCTTCCTCAGAAACCAGTGAAGAAGAAGGGCCATTACCCATTACGCCCAGGAGTCCAAGGTTTCTTTATCACCTGCGATGGCGGCCGAGAGCGTCAAGCCTCCATTGAAGCTATCAATGTTATTGACTCTGTATGACTTTGCCCCTTTTTACTGCTTCTGGGTTATGTTTTGTTGGGATTGAGATGAATATTTCAATGGTTTACGTTTCGATTGTCATTGAGCTGTGTTCCTATTGCCTTATTGTGGAAGTCATGGGGGAATTGAATCATTCCTTTTGTTTTGTTATAAAGTTCCGAGATGAAACTTAGAGAGATTTGGAGGCAGATAATGTAAAGCGTGGTACCCAATGATTCAAAGATGTTTGATGTGCGAAGGGTCTATTTGTAAAGCTTATTAGTGAGTAATGAATACATCCGAAGTTATCTATGATAGACGTAAAGGGAAAATATTACATAGGGAATTTTTTAAGCTTATCTCAAAGTAATTCTGGTTTTTGTCAATGTTATGTCTAATTGTTCGTTGTAGGATTATTAATTGCTCATTCTTTAAATGCTATACATATATATTTGTTCTGTTTAAAGGCTTTACTGTTGATTTCTTTACAAGAACATTGATTTTTACGTATTCGTTTTCTTTATTCCATTTTCAGTTTTTTGACGAGTTAGTCCATGGAAAGGGTTCTGGCGTGAAGCTGACAGAATTAGCTGATAAACCTTTAAACAAAAAAATTAAGTTTTCAGATTCTGAATCTTCTGGTTCTGATGATGATGATGGGGAAGAGGAGGAGGAGGAGGTGGGGGATGAGAATGAGGACGAGAACAAGGAGGTTCCTGACGAAGAAAGCAAGTCTAAGTCTCCTAAGGAGCAAAATGATCCTTGCAATGAAAATGAAACAACAGACGTTCCAGATCCTCATCAAGGGGACACTGTAGCCACCGAAAGTCGAACAGAGGAAAAATCAAATGACAATGAAAAGGATATAAAGTGTCCAGAAGTTCGATCGGAGGAAGTTGAGGAGCCGCCGAAAAAGAAACACTGCATTGAAGCAGATGCATCAAAAAGTATTGTTAAGGAGAAAGAGAAATCTATTGATCAATTGATTGAAGCTGAACTTCAGGAACTGGGAGATAAAAGCAAGGTCAGTGATAAAATTTCAACGTTAAGGTTATTTTTTTTTCTAATCTTACAACTATAAACCTTGTATGAGTTATGATTATGACTTACAAGCTATTTTAAACATCCAGACTGATAATTGATCCTTTGTTTTCCAATCTTCTTATCATGAAATGTGGTTCAGAGACGTTTTTTCAACCTTGATTCGGGCTGCAATGGTGTTGTCTTTATCCAAATGCGGAAAAATGATGGAGAACCTGGTCCTGAGGCTGTTGTGCAGCATATGATGACATCTATTGCTTCAACAAGGAAACACATATCAAGGTTTGCATATAGTTCTTGAATTTCTATAAGGAATGAAGCATGAAGAAGTTCATATACTGGATCACTAAAAGGCTTTATTGTATATTTGATATATCCCAGGTTCATACTTAGAGTACTGCCTGTTGAAGTGGCATGCTACGCTTCAGTGGAGGAGATCTCGAGGGCAATAAAGCCTCTAATAGAAAAGAACTTTCCTGTTGAAAGTCAAAGTCCTAAAAAGGTATATCCCTACTTTTACGTTCCCTTTTAATCGTCTTCCAATTTCAATACCATGGTGTCAGTTCCTTTTTGTGATAAAGGAACAACTATAGATTCAATGACTATTTGAATATGATCACTTAACGCTACTATGAGTTGGAAATAGTTGCGCTGATTTCTTGATGGCTTTATGCATTCTAAGATTGAGGACAATTGTTTCAAATTTTGTTTCTAGATTTGTGCTTGGTTTTGTGACTGGAGTTCTAGGCCGCATATCCAATTCACTTAAGACTAGGAGAGCTAAAAGTGTCATTGAGTGAAAAGTAGAGTAGGCTGTATATACTTGTAACTGTTTAAAGCTGTTGTGATGTAGTTGTCAACCGGGTAGAAGATAAGGAGAGTCCATGGCTATTCATTTTATAATGGCTGTGGTTTTCTAGTTTTTGCAGTTTTGATATCTCTGACCCTACACGTTTTGACACTTCCTAGTCGTATGATGAAATTGCAACCTCCAGTTGGTAAAGGACATGGAAGAAAATTCAACTGAGCGACTATAATCGATGATTGATTGATTATTAAACGAAACTATCCTATAAATACTTTATAAGAAGTGAACATGAATCTCGTTTCCTAGTGACTTGACTTGAGGATGCTGTTATTAGAATGATCACAGATTAATATTTCAATTTTTTTTTTATCTTTCTCGCAGTTCGCAGTATTATACGAGGCCCGTTCAAATACTGGCATTGACAGGGCAACTATAATTAATACTGTAGCAAAAGCTGTTCCTGAGCCTCATAAAGTTGATTTGAACAATCCTGAAAAAACCATTGTGGTTGAGATTGTCAAGGTGAGGAACTCTGTTCTTGGAAGTAAATAGTCTAGAGATTTCTCCTTAGACCTGACTCAGTAAATAGAATGTTTGCCATAGCCACCCATTTGGTGGGGTATGTGCCGCTTTAAATTTTGTGTTTAAAATATTCTCTGCTAGCTGAAGCTATATACATCTTAAACCTTGCCTTGAGGATTTAATCTAATCTTGGTTTCAAACCTGACTTCTTTTACCAAATTTTTATTGTTTTAGATAAAAATATATTGCTTGAGGTTAAATCTGCTGGGAAGTAAGTGAAGTTCATACTTTTATTATCCTTACCCAAGTAAATGGAAAGTGTTGTAGATCCTCTGAAAGTCCTTACAGAACTAGTTTTATCTGCAAGTTAGTCTGGGAGGCAAAAAACTATGGCTTTAGAAGCTTAAGAATTGCTGAACCATTAGTTTGGAACGTGTTTGGTGAGACTGGATGCTAATAGAATAGGCTCTGTAGTAGATATTGTTCTCTTTGGACTTTTCCTTTCGGACTTTCTCTCAAGGTTTTTAAAACGGTTTCTACACTCTTGTAAAGAATGTTTCATTCTCTTCTTCAACCGACGTGGAATCTCACATGCTGTATCAGATGGAAGTTGACAACCCATGCCTATGAAAATGAAAAAAAAATAATGTTTGATCGTTTGTTATGAAATGTGATTGGTCTGGAATGTGGACAATAACTGTGTAATCTCACATTGTGTTTTTTGTTGGGTTGTTCAGACAATTTGCTTGATTGGAGTAGTGGAGAAGTACAAGGAGTTATCCAAGTACAACCTAAGGCAGCTCACATCAAGAAAGCAATAGAATAGGTTAGTTTAGGTTATTTGGTTTTCATGTCTGTTTCAGCTTTGGTCGGACGGACACCTTTTAACTTTGAAATGTATTAATCTGCATGTTTCTTGATGTGTACGGTTAGTATAGTTTAGATTTGAGTATTAAGTATTATATATGGTTTTAAATTTCATAATATGCTTATACTGTTCTGTTGAACTGCTATTGAGTTTGATGGAGGAAGATGATTGAAAGATTCATCATATCTGTTGTTTGTTTGTATGGCTTGCATTTACATGGAGTTGAACTCGAACACAGTTTCTTAAATAAAATATTTGAAATCAAAATGAAAAAAGATAACTCATGAGATCGGAGGAGTATCCAACACAATATATTACATGATATCATGTAATATATTGTCGGTAATGATGATGATATGATTATATTTCATTGCTGGGAATTGAACCCGGGTCTCTTGGGTGAAAGTCAGATATCCTAATTAAATTTGGGACTCTTAGGTGAAAGTCAAATATCTTAATTGGTGGACGACAATGGATGATAAGATATATTTATCCAAATTTTAAATAATTATATTTAGAATAATGAGACTAAAGAATGTTTCACATAATTTCGAAATTGTTTCATAACTACACTATTTCTAGGTAACTCAAGAATTATTTAGGGCTTGTGGTGGCTTTTAGAACTATTTCCTTGAGAAAGGTGTTTGCATGGATCAATACCAAAAAAACAACACAAAAAAAAGTAAAAGCCGACCCTAGCCTCATTAGCTGAGGTCATATTTTATGTGCTGACCTCAGCCTATGAGGCTAGGGTCGACCTCTACCGTATTGTTTTCCTTCTCTTTATTTTTAATTAGTTTTCTACTCAAATGATGAAAAACATTTATAAAAGGTGAAGAGTAATATTAAAACGTTTGAAAGATAGAAGTGTTTCTTAAACAATATATCCCGACTACAATAACTACCGAACAACGATCCATTTGAAGAATGATGCTGGATTCCCTATATAAGAGGATGAAATCATCAAACCATTAGCTTTCCAATCAAATAACCTAATAAGCAACTTTGAATTATGGATGTGGAAGAAACCCAAGCAAATGATATAAATATTGTTGGGCTCATGCAGTGCCTGCCTATCTCTACATCTAACATAGAAAATTCCTCTCCTCTACGGATTGTAACTACAAAAAATTTAGTCCTAATGCACATTAAAAGAATGGTGTTACTTGGCGACTACTGTGTTTTTCTCGCTCGAAACTCCATTTTCGACTTGTTTATCGAATCCGTGGTAAGGTACTTCGACCATGGGTTGTGGCAAAGGATGACCTTGAAAGTCCTCTGGAAAGAATTCGAAATCAGGGCCGAAGTTGAACTTGACAACACAATTTGGTTGATTCGGTTGAGTGTACATTGAGGCTGCAGGATAATAACGACCTCCGTTCAGATCGGTAAACGCAACGCCTTGGCATACTCCGTTTTTGAAGAACGAAATCTCACTTCCTGCACAACAAATGTCGAACACATCATTTAACTTCAGAGAGGGGACGATACTCCGATCAAGAACTAAACTAGAACTCGGGAAAGAAGAAACAAGAATGAAAAGCATAAGGCAAGATGCAACATATTGCTGGGGCATCTATCTCGAGTTCCTAATCCTCAATCGCTATATAACTGACTTGACAGTCGACACGTGTCAAAAATGGTTGGTTAAATTACTTATAAATTGTAACAAATGACTAATTCAGTAACGAAAAAATAGTCTAAACACTCATGCCAGAACCTTGTTAAATGATAATAGATGTGACCCAAAGGAACAGACTGGAAACATCAGCACCAAACTACTCCTAACATCTCAAGCTCACCGCTAGCAAATATTGTCTTCTTTGGGCTTTTTCTTTCGAGCTTCCCCTCAAGGTTTTTAAAACGTGTTTGTTAGGGAGAGGTTTCCACCCCTTATAAAGAATGTTTCGTTCTCCTCCTCAACTAATGTGGGATCTCACAATTATTTACTTACACTACGGTTAACAAGCTAACCCCTCTCTCCCAACCGATAGCTCTTCTGTACCCTCTTCCCCACTTCCTCAGAACGTTTATTCCTCCTGAAATAAAGACATGTCCAAAATCATTCTCGAACATGCCCAAAATCATTCTCGAACATGCCCCAAGTGAATTGCATGGTTGGCTTGAGTTTTATCACCTACTAAAACATACAACCATTTGTACACATTCAAAGAATCAGATAAATAGGAAACAGCATGCTTATGAGTTTCACTTATTGATCTGGATACCCTATTTCTATAGATCATCTTTCTCATTATGCATGGTAAAAGGATTTCAAATTGCTCTTGCAGTATAGCTCAGCTATGAAATGGGATCTCGGTCGGGAAAACTACATCCCCCCTTGGCCAAATGAATAGGAAAAAAGAACGTTTCTCCCCAAATGCAACACTATACGTAGTGTCAAAATGAACCTTCAAACTATGCCAATGTCAAATGACTCGACTTTAGAAGAAAACGCAAACAGATGCAACACATAATCTTAGAGGAATCTCAATTTAAAACGAATGTCAATAAGGCCTATAGTAACTTCAAGTTTGTTCTTTTCAAAAAGCTATACTTCCATGATTGATCGGTTGCAGCTCAAAGGGCAGTCTACTTCAGGGGCAGCACTGGGCTGCAACCTCAACCCTGCTTGCCAGCCAGTGAGTTCTTGCCTCACGGGCCAAAACTGTATTTTTTCTCATCATTTGTATCACAGGGCTGCAGGAGTGGCTAACTAGGAAATCCTTAAACCAATCTAAATATCAGGAACTGCAACATTTTTCCTAACTAGCTAGGACAAACCGAATTGAAAAATCGAAAAAGAACGTAGCATAAAAAAATAAAAATGAAACCGCTCAAGCCCACCGCTAGCAAATATTGTCCTCTTTGGCTTTCACTTTCGGGCTTCCCCTCAAGATTTTTTAAAACGCGTCTGCTAGAGAGAGGTTTCTACACCCTTGTAAAGAGTATTTGGAGAGGTTTCCACATCTTTATAAAGGGTACTTTGTTCTCCTCCCCAACTGATGTGGGATTTCACAATCCACCCCCTTCGGGGCCCAGCATCATTGCTGACACACCGCCTCGTGTCCACCCCCTTCGGGACTCAACCTCTTTGCTAGCACATCGCCTAGTGTCTGGCTCTTGTATCATTTATAACGGCCTAAGCCCACCATTGGCAGATATTGTCCTCTTTGGGCTTTCCCTTTCGGGCTTCCCCTCAAAGTTTTTAAAACGCGTCTGCTAGGGAGGTTTCCACACCCCTATAGAGGGCATTTTGTTCTCCTCCCCAACTGAGGTGGGATCTCACATAAAATCACAAGTCGAAGTCAAGTGTAAAAGAACAATCTATATAACAATCAAGATGCACATGAAATGGTTTCCATAGAGCTTCCATAGAACATAAAGCAGATCCTCAACAACTCAAGAAAATTGAACATAGAATGCATCAGTTGTCAGGATTTAGTAAAGCAATCCAACATACCAGGAACTACTTTAGGAGGCTCCTCTTTCCCTTCAGGAGCACAAATGTACCTCTGCCCCTTATACCAAACATAATGCGGTGACTTGGGCGCATATGAAGCCCCATCAGGCAAATTGATATAAAAACCAAGAACATCACCTTCCTTATATCCCTCCTCTCCATATTTCTCCCTTAAAGCCTTGTGCACCTTACTTCCATCAATATCTCTGTATCCAAAACTATTCCCATCGTACCCGACCGGCGCCTGCAAGTCCCCTTTCTCCATCGACCATCCGAGCCGAGTATGCCCGGTCTCCCCCAAGCTTACAACCTTGATTTCAAAATACCATGCCCCTTCCTCCACCCCTCTAGTAGCTCTCACCATTCTATACCCCTTTGTACTACCACCACTCATTCTGTCATCACTCAATTCAACTTTCTCCGCCTTGTAAACTTTTGACAAACATATTTGCATACTGGAATTGTCGTCTCCTTTATCGGAGAACCTTGGAACTGGAGTGATCAAAACAGGATCCTCAGTGGGGGCATTGTGATTGTTATTAGCTTTGTTCTTCTTTTTCCCCTTCCGGCTCGATTTAGTAGCCCAAACATTATTATTCTTCTTCTTCGATTTCTTTGGTGCAACATTGCCACTAGCTGACCCGTTGTTCTTAGCCGCCGTTGTGGATGCCGGCAATGGCGATTTGTCCTCCCCTGCAGGTTTGTTAAGCGAAGACAACTGCTTCTGCTTTTTCGGAGTCGGGCCTTCTTCGCCGTCGTCATTCCCAGGGGACTTCGTCAATTTAGCGGATTTTGTGTCATCGGAGGCGGGTTCTTCTTCGGAGATTTCTTCAGAGGCATCGGGTGGGTGTTGACTGGTACCGTTCTGGGGCTCGGTTAGATTCACAGGCGGATCAGCAGGGTCAAGTGGGTCGATCTCAGCGGCGCGAATGGAGTCGCCTTCTCCATCATCTTCATCTCTGTAATTGGAACGGAGGGAATCCATGAGAATGAGCTCCAATAGGGTTAAAATTTCGGCAACTCCGGGGACGGAGGAGATTAATGATCCTTTTACATATGTTTCTGCTAACCGAGAGCTGGAGAAATTCGGAAATCAAACTAGTCCCGACGGATGGGGCTGAAGGATTGAAGAGACGGGGAACGGGGAGAGATTCGCCGTGGTATGATCAGATAATTGGACCCATTTAAATTATTTAATTTTTACGATAAAAATTAGATTTGGTTATTTATTTATTTATTTATTTCGATTTGAATTTAATTTATATTGGTTGACATTTTTTAAATCGAATTAATTTAATTAATTTGATAATAAAATAAAATAAAATAAAAATCTTTAAATTTCTTAAGCAAAATAAAATAATATTTTATATCAAATTATCTAATTATTGGTACATATAAATTAAATATTTAATTTTTTTTTAAAAAAAGGTAGGATAAGATTGTGACCTTAATTTCAGGTTGATCGAGTTAACCGGATCAAAAAAACTATTTTATAATTTTCCAAAATTAATCCCAATTTCAATCAATTTTTCATTAAAAAAAATTAAATAAATAAAAAACAAAATGACTTAATTGAGAATTTTTAATATATATATATATATATATATTTGGTGAAGCATTGAATTTGTAATTAATAAAATAATTTATATACTCACCTACCACCATTCTTTTGGACCATTCAATTTCACACCTCCATCAAAACTTGGTCATATTTTATTTTATTTTATTTTATTTTATTTTATTTTATTTTATTTCAACAAATTACGAGGAATGGACACATGTTATTCATGATAATTATGGGTAATATTTTGATATTTTATTTTATTTATTGAATTATGAGTGGTCAATAAAATGGGTCAAAAATGGTTTCCATTTCCCCACCCAACCACCCATATACTCCAAAAATTACTCCCAATTCAGAAGGCTATTCTCGTAATTTCAGCATAGACGCCGCCTTCATTCTTCTCCGAGCTTTGCCGCAATTGCCACGCGTTCTAACAGGGCCTCACCACCCTCTCTTTCTATAAACGTCTTTCCCTCTCTCTTGATTCCCCTCTGGATCATGCTCTTCCTCCTGCTTCTGCTTCTGCCAATTTCAAGCGGTCGTGGTTGTGGGAGGAGGGATTAATAAGGGCATTGGGATTTCCCCATTTGCTCCTTCTTCAATTCCCTCTAAGATACACATCCATGCCTCCCAGCAAGTTCAATTCCGCTGTAATCTCTCTCTCTCTCTCTCTCTCTGCCTCTCTATTTACTGTTCATCTGTTGTGATCTCGATTTCGGAATCGTCTCCTTGTCTTCTTTACGCTTTCTGATCTGTTGATTGGGTTTTCTGGGTTTTTTTCCCGGTGGAAATTTCTTGGAGATTCTGTAGTTAGCCGAGGATATGATGCTCTGTTTCCATTTGGGGGATTTTTATAAATCTTTGTGTTGTGTTGTGCTGCTAGAAACTTTTGTATGCGGATTAATTTGGTGGGTTTTTGTTGCTGATTTGGAGATATTTGGAATTCATCTGTTTGTGGTTGAATATCTGATGGATGAATCAAGTGGATGATTATTATCCCAGAGGACTGCATGTTTTTCTTTTCAGATTCCCTAGTCTTTTTGGAACAGGGGGGGCACTTTTCTTTTTTCTTTTGTTCTTTCTAGATGTTGCTTTTTTAATTCGTGTTATTTAGTTTTTTGAGGCAACTGAACTGCTGGTGATACAGGGAGAAGGAAACTTTTCTGGCCCAATGGCGGATAATGGTTTATTTAATGCAAATTCTCTGTTAAATTCTGAGAAGGCTGTCCAGGAGCTTCTTGAACGGTCTCCATTAATGGAGACTGATGATCACCTTATTGAGTTTTCAGAGGCCTTGAGAAGTATGTATCACTGTTTTATTTCGTATGTTTTACTGAATCATGAGCTGCTGTTGAATATTTTCCTTTACGTTTATGTAATTTTGCTGATATGGTTGCTGTTGTGTATGAATTGGTCAAAATATGCTGCTCATGTTATTTCTTCGATCTTCAGCTGTTGCAAAAGCATTAAGAAAGGCAGCTGAGGGAAAGGCTGCTTCGCAGGCTGAGGCTGCTGAATGGAAGCGTAAATTTGAACTGGAGAGGACTAGAAATCTTCAACTCGAGCATAAAGGTTTCTCTAATGGGATTTCTTGTGTTATTTAGAATATATTAGTTGATGTTTTCGTGGGGCTGGAGAATTGTTAGAAGCACACACTTTCATTAAATAGCAAACGTCTCCTCTTCAAGTCTTTATGTAACAGCTCGAGCCCACCGCTAGCAGATATTGTCCTTTTTGGGCTTTCCGGGCTTCCCCACAAAGTTTTTAAAACACGTCTGCTACGGGGAGGTTTCCACACTCTTATAAAAAATGCTTCATTCTCCTCCTCAACCGACGTGGAATCTCACATTTTAGCTTCCCTTTGGTTATATCTGTATTTTACTTCTTATGGAGATAACAAGATATAGTTGGAGAATTGGGAGAGGGGCATATGGCGTCCGTTATTGTTATGTTGAGCCTTGTAGGATTAATCTCGACGTGCATATGCCATGACATGATTACTTGCCTGAGTCTATCTATGTCGATCGTATTGTAGCAACCAAACCGACTAGTGACCTTATTTTGTATTCACCATGTTCACAAATGTGATCCACCACCATTTTTCTTTTCCTATCATTCCTTTTTTCTTATGTTTTTCTTCTGTTTTCGTTTTCGTTTCTCCTTATTTTTTATATGTTCCTTAAAACTACATATGCTTATGCATTATAGGGCAGTCACCAGTAGAATGCAATGGTCATAATAATAAGAGGTCAAGGATCCTAAGCCCACAAGCCACGGAGCAATCAGAATGGTGTTGTGGATCAAATGGAATATGTTCTCATGAAATTCTCCAAGATCGGGACATCAATTCTATTTCTCAGATGGCGTCTAAAAAATATACGAGAAAGGTATTTGAGGAAAAATGAAACATGCCCATTTATTTGCACAAAATAAATAAATTAATAAAGTCAAAAGTTCTCTCTCAATGTTCTTTATTTCTCTAATTTAAACATGCGTACAAGCAAAACGAGGCATGCTGCATGCATCTTATAGTTCCGTATTTCATTGTTCCTAGTGATGTTTCATGCATACTTCCTTTTGGTGGCATTGAACTACAGAAAAAATACTTTGAAATGTAACAAATTGGTCTTAGATATTTACTGAATTGTGCTAATCCCATTTAAACTTACAGGCACCATTTAAACTTTCATGGTGCTGCAATGGTGAGCATAGTGATCGGCACAAGCACGATGTTGTCTCCTTTGAGAAAGGAAACATAACAACTGCAGAGCGTAGCAGTAGACAGGTCTGTTACTGCTGAACATAGACACATCTCAATTGAATTACTTACATGTTACAGTTTATCTACGGTCGATTTTTGACAAAATGGAAATGAAAAACTGAGCCTAGGGTCATGAATTTTGAGTGGGTCCACTTAATTGATATAACATTTTCATTTCAGATTTCTTTGAAGTGGGAATCTCAACCTCAGACCGTGCTTATATTGACCAAACCAAACTCAATATCGGTTCGAATTCTTTGTTTTGAGATGGTCAGGTGTGTTGCTTAGGAAAAGTTTGCTCTCCTTTTTGCCTACACCGAAGTTTTTATCATCATAACAAGAGTATCTTCATAATGTGAAATGAATGCTGTTTTCCTTATTCCCATTTCTATTCCTCCCAGATGGTTGAGAGAGCATAAAGGTCTTCACATTTATGTTGAACCACGTGTCAAAAGTGAGCTTCTGACAGAGTCAGACTACTACAATTTTGTACATACATGGAAAGACGGTGAGTATGAATGGTTGTTATTATGTAATAGTAAGCGTATTGTTCTTACTCGGTTTGTGATGTTCAAGGATGGCCTTGACTGCATTTTTGAGCTATAATTTTTATGGCAACCTTTACTTACGGTCTCTATGACTAATTATTTAATACTGTCCTTATGCACTCGATTGACTCCTCTTTTCTACTTCTTGACAGACAAGGAGATTATGCTCCTCCACACGAAAGTTGATCTCGTGGTTACCCTTGGTGGAGATGGAACTGTACTTTGGGTACGTCTTTCACTTGCAGGAGTATCATCTTATTGTTCTAGATATTATAATTGTCATTGTTATTGCAGTCATTTCATAAATTTTCATGGCTGCATATTGAGCTTATCAACTGCTATGAACTGTACGTTTTTAATTTGGCACTTGATTGCAGGCAGCATCAATGTTTAAAGGACCAGTTCCTCCACTTGTTCCGTTTTCTTTAGGGTCTCTCGGTTTCATGACTCCTTTTCGTATCCTTCGATTCTGAGGAAGTATCTACCTTAGAAATCAATTCATTTGTTGTTTAACCAGGAAGTAATTGGTTTAAAGTTATTCTTAAACCGACATATTGCCACGACGTTGATTTTCGTTGGCTGCTGAAAATTTTCTTTAACATGCTTCAGACAGTGAGCATTACAAAGAATGCTTGGATTCAGTTCTAAAGGGTCCAATTAGTATCACATTGCGACACCGACTACAGTGCCATGTTATTAGAGATGCAGCAAGAAACGAATACGAAACTGAAGAACCTATACTCGTGCTGAATGAGGTTACAATTGATCGCGGAATATCATCGTACCTTACGAATTTGGAATGTTATTGTGACAGTTCCTTTGTAACTTGTGTCCAAGGGGATGGGCTGATTCTATCAACAACTTCTGGCAGCACAGCATACTCATTGGCTGCTGGGGGATCAATGGTTCATCCTCAGGTATGTTCTTCGGTCGACCGATCAGTCGATCTTTCAGTTCACGTTCTTATATTGGTTATAGAGTGACCATTTCTTAAATACTAGCTCAACATTCGCAGGTTCCCGGAATTCTATTTACTCCGATATGCCCACACTCCTTGTCGTTTCGACCCTTGATATTTCCAGAATACGTAACAATACGTATACAAGTACCTTTCAATAGCAGGGGGCATGCATGGGCATCCTTCGATGGGAAGGACAGGAAACAATTGGCAGCAGGAGATGCACTTGTATGCAGCATGGCACCTTGGCCAGTGCCTACAGCGTGCCAGGCAGACTCGACAAACGACTTCTTGCGCAGCATTCACGATGGCCTTCACTGGAATCTAAGAAAAACACAGTCTTTCGATGGACCTCGAGATACATGACTGAAGTTTTAGAGCTTCTTATGGTTAGTATTTATATTCTATAACATATTTTAGTTGTGGCTCAGGACTAAAAAGATGTGTAGCAGAGGGGGAAAATGGTAGAGAATCACTAAATAAGAGTAATTTTCTGTCATATTATTTATGTATGGTTTAAGGTGAAGGCTCAAGCTGATGAGAGCCCATATCTTAAGTTGTAACAAATTTTTGATAAGTAAGCAATAGATCGTTGCAATCTTACTGTTCTCAGCTGTGTGTCTTGTTAGCTCCACTTATACATCTTGTTTACGCAAAATACACTTTTCGATCCCCGATTCTAAAATGGGTAAGTTCCGACCCGCACGAAAGGCGTAACGATTTGGGCGAAATAGATATGTCTGTGCACATAACTAATTGTTCTAATGCTTTGACATTGCCGAGCTAGAACATTAAAACACTACTTTAGTAAGTAAAAAAAGTTCAGGAATTTAAATTAAATTAATTTCAAAAGAAATTTAAAAACAAATATTGAGTTTTTATTTGTTTTTTTTTTTAATTATGATAATCGAGGAAAAGAAGGATATATGAATGAAACGGATCCATGTTCGAATTACACATTTGTCCAAGAGGTTGAATGTTTGAATTTCCTCCGTCTTAATGAACTTTAAAGGGAAACAAAGTAGTTACTTTTAGTGGCTGATTTACGTTTGTGAACTTACATCGACACTCTTTTCAAAGGTGTGGAAATCTTCTCCTAACAGGTGCGTTATAAAAACCGTGAGGTTGATGGCAATACGTAACGAGTTAAAGCTGACAATATCTATTAACGGTGGGTTTGGACTATTACAAATGGTATTAGAGGTAGACATTGGGCGGTGTGTCAACAAGGACGTTGAGACCCGAAGGGGGTGGATTGTGAGATCTCAATCAGTTGGAGAGAATAACAAAACACTCCTTACAAGGGTGTTGAAATCTCTCTCTAACATACGTGTTTTAAGAACCATGAGACTGATAACAATACGTAACGGGTCAAAGCAGACAATATCTATTAACGGTGGGCTTGGGCTATTACAAATGGTATAAGAGGTAGACACCGGGTGATGTGCCAACGAGTACGTTGGGACTCCAAATGGATGGATTGTGAGATCCCAAATCGATTGGAAAGCGAAAAAAGAGCACTCCCTATAAGAGTATGAAAACCTCTCCCTAACAGACAGCGTTTTAAAAATCATGAAACTAACGACGATACGTAATTGGCAAACATTTAATTGACAAAGTCATGTCGTAACGTAGCTTGTAAACGAACCACTTTAATTTTAAAATCAATTCTCCATGTCAACCAAGAAATGACAAAAAAAACACATATTTTCATGCACATAGCCCATTTCTTGAGATCTAAATTTCCATTTTCTATATAAAAAAATTTGATAACGTAATATGGAAGGGTCAATTACCTTACACACATGCATATATGTTTTATAATTATGCAAGCCACCCACCATTTCTTATGTTATCTTGTCTTGAATTTGGGTATAATAAATATAGATTTTTGTCCATAATGGTATAATTTCTCGAGTTTCTATCATAAAATCATCTTAGATGTTATGAGATCGATTGAACGAAAAATTTAAAGATGATATATATATATATATACAGAGTTCAACAGTATTTGAAGTGGAAGATTCGAACGTTTAACCTTTCGTTGAAGATATAGATCAACACCGTTGAATTTTGTTTATTTTAATTGTTGATATAAATCCACTCGTTAAGATTGCAACATTGAGTAGAAGTAAATGTATGGGGTAGGTTTTTTATTATACAGGTCGGATATGTCCAACTCATTAAGTTGACTTAGTGAAATAAATTATACCTATACAAACTTTCTTTCAATGTTATTGACATATATATATATATTTAATATAATTCCAAAAAGTCATTGTTGCCCTTAATTAAGGGAATGTTATCGTTAAGCAAGCGGTATTTAGGACACGAAGCTGTCTCGAGGTCATGAGATCTACTTTACCGTTTAAGAAGGTGAAGGAAAAACCAACCAAAAGATTCGAGTATGTATTATCACAATCACTGACTCGAAATAGGTTAGCAAAAAGCAAATGTCGGCATATCTTCACTGACTCGGTACTGTGTCCATTGAGGAGTTACACGTTTTAAAGTTAAGGAAGCTATTAGACATAAATTTAAAAGTTTAAAATTTTCATTCCGTCACGAAGAGTGATCGAGACCAGTCACGTTTTCATTCATTTGGAATCTGGGCTCTTCTACGTCATTTTTATTTTTTCTTTTTTTATTCCGTTCGATCATTCCTTAAGTCCCATAAGTTTGATTCTGTAGAATCTAGCCCATATTTTCATTGAGCGAAAGGTACGAAATAAATCAAATTGATTTTTTGATCAAAAGTGCTATGTGAAATCTTCGTTTTTTTTTTCCTCTTTCTCTACCCCTATCCAACGGGTACAGTGTTTGAATCAATAAAGAACCGTTTCTTCTGTATCAGTATGAATTTATATAATACATTCCAATTTCTTCTCGATACCTCCTAAGAAAAATTTCGAATTGGATCCAAAATTGACGGGTTAATGACTTATAACTGAAACTACAGTTAGTCAAAACAACAATCTGTATTCATGAATATTTAATTAAATTTCAAAAAGTTAGTCATCCAAATCGTATTATTCATGAGATTAGAGAATAATATATGAAATCATATATTAGTAAGTATTTAACTTTAACTTAAAGGAATAACCAATCAAATTAATTGTAACAATTTGGCTGATAGAAAGATTTAGATCAAAATTGTAACACTAAAATATTCTTAAAAAACATGAACAAACCTTATTTTTCACGTAAGATATGTTTTTTTAGTGTTTTTGTTTGGTCTTTGGTCTCCTTTTAAGGTTAATGCCTTGCTTCTTTCTTTAAGAAATGTATAAAATTTATGAACAATAATAAAGCTCTTTTAAGGTCATAGATCATTTGTTAAAAGACACTCAATCCTTTTGCTTAAGTCAGAGGTTCTAGGACTAGTAAAACTTTTAGATCTTGTAACAGCCCAAACTCATCGTGTTATGTATCATCGTCAGCTTCACAATTTTCGTCTCTCGGTTCCTAGCTTTGATACCATTTGTAACATCTCAAACACAGGTTTCTACACCCTCACAAAAATTGCTTCGTTCCCTTCTCCAACCGATGTGGAATCTCACAATTCGCTCCGACACAATCCACCTCCCTGACACACCGCTCAGTTCCTAGCTTTGATAACGTTTATAACAGCCCAAACCCACCACTAGCAGATATTGTCCACTTTGGCCCATTACGTATTGTCGTCAATCTCACAGTTTTAGAATGCATCTGTTAGGAATAGGTTTTCACATCTTATAAAAAAAATGTTTCGTTCTCATCTCCAACCGATGTGGGATCTCACAGATGCGATTCAAATACCATCATTAATTCTTCTTATCTCAAACCATTCATAGAAGAACAAAGGATATCACTAAAACACAAAGTATTTAGTACTATACGACGTGTTTACAAGTACTTTCATTCTATGTCGAGAGTTCGAATTTCTAGCTCGTAACTATGACGTACTTATTCAAACCGAGAAAAGGTAAAAAGTAGGAAGTAGACTAATTTAGCCGTTAAAGAACAAACTAAACTATTGCAACATGAAGCATGGGAATTGCCAAGAACTCCATTCTTTACCCATATAATTGACTTTAGTATGCGTAGATGGCAATCAATTACACATAACTCTTTCTCTTCTTCATAGTTTATAGCCATATAGCTTCACATTTATTTGCAAACCCTTTAATTGCTATGTAAATTCATACCCTTTTCTTCAAACCCTTTGTTGTTCTTCACCATGTCTTCTCCACCACCTATCACCTCCACCATTGCCAATTTTCAAGCCAAGCTTTCTTCCATATCTCTTGGAAATGTCTGCAAAGTTTTGGCAGTTTCAGGGCTTGCCTTGTTCACTCTCTATGTTTTTGTGTTTTCACCTCCAAATTACCAACTTTCTGATTTTCTTACTACCCTCAAACAAAAATTTCCGATTAACAATCCGTCGTCATCGCCGTCGCTCCCACCCGCTGATCCTCCGACCAACATTTCCCATATCGTGTTTAGCATCGTTGGCTCAATGAACACATGGAAGTACAAGAGATATTATAGTGAGTCATGGTGGCGACCGAATGTAACTCGTGGTCATGTCTTCTTTGAACGCCCACCTTCTGGTGAGTTCCTACCGTGGTCGAACTCGTCTGCTCCATTTCGGGTCAACGAAGATATCTCAAGCTTTGCTGTGTACCCTAAAATTAGATGGCGAGACCAGGTTGTTATATTATCGTTATCAACTCAAAAGAATAGAGTTACGAATTATTTTTTACCGATTATGTAATCTTTTATTCATATTCTTCACGTAGGTGAGGATCTTTCGAACTGTGATGGAGTCGTTTAGAGAAGGCGGCCCGAATGCGAGGTGGTACGTGATGACCGACGACGATACGATAATATTTGTGGATAATTTGGTGAAGACCTTGGGAAAGTATGATGACAAGAAGCCTTGGTACATTGGGATGAACTCAGAGTGTGTGAAATCTAACTTTGATTTCTCGTATGATATGGCTTTTGGAGGAGCTGGCTATGCTTTGAGTTACCCACTTGCTGCTTTGGTAGCAAAAAGGTTGGATGGTTGCATTGAGAGGTACCCTTACTTGAGGGTTAGTGATCAAATGTTGTTCCAATGTTTGTCGGATTTGGGATTCTCGATTACTCACGAAAAGGGGTTTCATCAGGTAAATATATACCACAACCACTCTCGTGGGTTTGCTTTTTGTTTCTCTAAAAGGTTTCATACCAATAGAAATGTATTTCTTATTTATAATTTCATAATCATGTGAGACTTATCCTCCTCTCGAATAAGGTACACCATAGAGCCTCACCTGAGGCCTATAGAACTTTCGAATAGCCTCCCCTTAATTGAAACTCGACTCCTTTCTCCAATGTGGGATTCCGTCCCAACAATCCTTCCCTCGAACAAGGTACACTTTAGAGCTTTCCCTGAGGCCTATGGAGTCCTCGAGCAACCTCCTCTTAATTGAGGCTTGACTCCTTTCTCAGGAGCCCTCAAACAAAGTACACTATTTGTTCAACACTTAAGTTACTTTTGACTATACCTTTGAGTCTCACAACTTCTTTGTTCACATTTGAAGATTCTATTGACATGACTAAATTAAGAGCATGACTCTAATACC